CATACCGCTGTGCCACTGGGGGGGGGGGGAGATACTAGAAATAAACGACCTTATAACACTACATTTGAATTTTCTTTAATTGGACACTCGACATGTCTTTTACAGCTTCTTCAGGAGTACTCCACTGACACAAACCATAACTGACAGTACAAAGTTTCAAATGGTTTAAATAATAAGTTAATCGGCAATTCAGAATTCCTGATTATAGTTTTTATTTTCTTGGAGACAGTTTCGTCAATTAGATGAACCATAAAAGTAATCTTAAAAGTTATAGAACGGCCAGGCTCAACACCAAAAGCCAAATGTCTTACATAATCGTGTTTGAAATTTAAAGGTAGATTTAAACAACAACATGAAGGAAGCGCAGATGCAGATAATTTTTTAACTAATAATGGACCACTAACACCTAACATGAAACTACTATTCTCTGTACAAATCCTTACCAAAGCCACCAAGTACACTAAGAGAAAATTTAAAGAAGCTCTTCTCATCGAACAACTACGACCCCAAATGAATAGGGACAAAAGGTGATGCCTATAAGTATAATTATTCTATGTTTTCATTTTGATTTGTGTTATTTCAATCTGTAGTATGGATAAAACGTTTGTTTACTACAGGTAGCAGTCAATTATTTCAACAATTTGCTTTGCTACTTAATATTTCAAAAGCAGGCTGTAGAAATTCACGCTATTGATTCGATTAGAATTTACTATTTTTACCATTTGAAACTTTGTACTGTTAGTTGCAATTTGTGTTTTAGTGGAACGCTGCTGAAGAAGCTGTAAAGCTAAACGTCGAGTGTCCAATTAATTAAAGAAAACTAACTGTTAGATATACAGGATAGTTTCAACTTAAGTATAGCGCGAGTGTTAAATTTGGTTATTTTTACAAGGGATAGTTTATTGCACGTTTGTTTACGTAACTGTGTACGAATCATGCATTGTGTAGTTCAGTTGTTAATTGGCGCTTGTAGTATTATTGCATCATGTTACAAGAATCTTCTAAGTCTTTTTGGTTGTTTCAATTGAATATTATTGCATAGTGTGTAGAACGTTTTAAACTTCTGTCAGTCTATAAATACCCTTACAAAATGTAGTTCAAGTAAAACAGACAGTTAATGAGATAGATAGCTAGAGATAGAGTCTGTGTTTGTGAGTTTAGCCACAAAGAGAGTATAGTAGCCCTTTTTTTTCATAAAAGGAAATTATCGCAGCTTGTGTTCTAACAACAGAGTAGAGAATAATAATTTATCTTGTCAATTGTGTTCTAAAATAATTGAACAAACCTATGTAGACTTTGACGAAAAAGAGATAGTTATTTAAAGCTCTTGATACAACTGTGGTGATTAACTGTGTAACGAACATTTGTATATACGTTTGCCTTGTTTTGATATATTATATTAAAACAAGTAGTCTCTGTGCTCTTTGTATATTGTTTAAATTTATTGCCGACAAGTCACAGACACTTACTGTAACGAATCCTGCTCATCCAGATATATATATTGTTACGATAGCGGAGGTCATGTGACGCTAGTAACACGCCACGCGCTTCTAGAACGTTCATGAAGCGTAGGGAGACTACTAGATATGGGATAGTCTTGTATATATAAGACCGGCCAAGAAGCGACGGGAACAATGTGTAATTGAACGGCGGACAGAGTATTGTTGAGTTGAGCACGTGCGACGTTCATTGTGAATTATAGCGTTTGTTATAGCGCGACTGTTGAAATTAAGTGTATTGCAAAGTTGTATTCAGAAAGAATAAACCAGTTTTATTTAAGAAAGGACTTGTATCGGTAAAGTTTCTTGGGAAAGAATTTTTAA